TTTTTTGAGATGGAGTCTCACTTTGTCGCCTAGGCTAGAGTGCAGTGGCACAATCTCGGCTCACTGCAACCTCCACCTCCCAGGTTCAAGCGAGTCTCCTGCCTCAGCCTCCCGAGTAGCTGGGACTATAGGCAAGTGCCACCACATCCAGCTAATTGTTTTTGTATTTGTAGTAGAGACATGGTTTCACTGTGTTAGCCAGGATGGTCTCAATCTCCTGCCCTCCTGATCCACCTGCCTCGGCCTCCCAAAGTGCTGGGATTACAGGCATGAGCCACCACACCTGGCCAGCTTTCACTTTTTTAAGGGAAAAAAGGCAGAAAAAAGGAATATGAAATCTCCTTCAAATCATGGCAGGGAAAATAGCTTCCATTTTCAAAGGTAGATTTGGTCTTCTAGGTCCTAGTTCTGCCTCCATACACCACATATTTTTACCTACGTTTGTATCTCCTTACAATGATGGCACATTATATACTATTCGAACTTAGAAAATCTGTCTCCATACCAATACCAAAGTGATTAAATTTCATTACTCTTTTAAAAAATGAAGTGGGATACATTTATTTACGTTTTGAGAATTTTGAGAGGTCTCTTCAGAAAACTGAGCACCCAAGGGAGTGACAGAGTCAGGACTATAGGTGACAGACCACATCTTCTCCTGTGTTGTCTTGGGGACTCAAAGTGGTACACAATGTCCCAGAAAAACAATATTTTAAGAAGGCCAACTCAATGGTGTCTGCCAAAGTGCAAAGGCCGTGGTGTGTCCTTCACTTTCACATTTGGGGTACATCATGTGAAGCAAAGAGAAAGACCACATGATGCAGCCCCTCTGGAGTAGGCCTTGGTGCACGCTGCCAGGGACAGGAGCGTGTCAGGGCTGCAGTGGCCGCCCCAGCTGCGACGGGAGGCAGGGTGTGGGAGGACACCTCACCTCAGGGAGGCAGTGGTGGAACTGGTGGCTGGTGGGAAGGGCTGGGGGCCTGCTGCCGAGGAAGGGCCCTGTCTGTGTCCCTTACCTTTGACTTTGACCTCATGAAAGGAAATCCCACACTGCATTTGAGGAAGTCCGATTCCAGCAGCTCACAGGAGATGCCCATCTCTTCCTGAAAGAAAAGGCACCAACAGATGGGCTGGCTGCATGACAGGCAGGTGTGCGGCAGCAGGCCCCACAGGGCATTTGAGTCCTTTGGAGCAGTGCCCAGACAGCAGGCACCGGCGGGACAAGGTGCCCTGACCCGGCTGTCTCCAGCCCTCTTCCAGCTGCCCACCTTTCCCATGGGTTCCCTGGGAAGACAGGTAAGAGGACAAAACTTCTCTTCATTCTTAACTAATGCTTTGGGTTCAAACCCTAGGGTGGTCCTGGTGACCTGGGCTGGGCCATGGGTAAGCTGGAGACCTCCTAAGGTTTGGATGAAAAGGCAACTCTGTCACCTTCCTGATCCCTTTCTCCTGAGCCCACACCCTAATCCTGCCTTTTCAGATCCTGGAGGTTTAGGAAAGACAAACTCTAAGAGTATCACACCAAGGAAAGAGAGGGTTTCTTCCTAAAGCCTGAAGCAGTGAGGGCTGGGCTGTCCACCGCCAAGGCTCCCCAGGGTGTGGGGCGGGTACAAGGGAGAGGAGAGGTTTCCAAGTGTAGCCAGCGTAGGCCAGACTCTGCACACGGCAGCTTGAGGGAGCCAGAAGACAAAGGCTGTAGGGAACTGCTGTCTTTCCACCTGGGTACATGGCTTCCAACCAAGGTCAAAGGAAAGCCAAGAGGCTCTTCACAAACCACAGGGCTTCTCAGATTCACTGAAAGCAAATCAGGACTTCCAAGGGGAGACAGTATGTTTACAGATTTTGGAGGAGAAGGTACAGAGGTCCTCCAATTTCTAAGATGCACATCTCACCTCAAACTAACATTTCAAGGCATTTAGACAGGTGGATGAAAAAAATGTTTTACTGTGTGTTCAACCGGTAAAAATACATGAGCATTTACCATAATATGTCTACTTAAATTATCCAGCTATGCATATCTTATTATTCTAATACATCAGGAACATTATCAAATGCACCAAATGCACTTTTATCACCTTAGTCTATGGGGCTGAAAATCAAGACAGTAATTGTGGAATAAGTGGAAGGCAGTTCTCCGTGCTGGTCACACATGTTTGATCATTTCATGAAAGTTTATTCAGCTGGAAACTTAATAACTTGTATATTTTTGTTTCTTTGTTTGCTAAACATCCATACACCTTTGCTTAGAAAATAGCAATGAAACAAAACCCCCCAAAGCCCAAATGCAATCAAACAAAAGAGATACACAAACACAAAACTAAACTCGAATGTATCTTTTCAGCATCCAGTCTTCGAGATAACTGACTCAATGATGCTCAGTTTTCTAACAGCTCTCCGTGCTCTTAGACAGTGCTATTCACACAGAGACCTGGGATTACCTGCGTTAGTATCAGCGTGGGAGCCTCTTTAAGAATGCAGATTCCTGGGTCACACTCTAATTGTATTGCATGGGTCTTCTCTGAGTAGACACAGAGACTGCAGGGTCTGGGATGAGCATTTTCAATATACAGTGAGTGATCAAAGAAGTGGTTTTGCTGGGCAGTGACGTTTGGGAGCTGCTGCTATGAGCTTTCCTTCCCTCAGTTCACTCGGCTGGCTGCCAAAGGAAACTTCTTAAAATATGTCCCTCCCCACTGCAAACAGAATCAAGTCTCAAATCTTTTTTTTTTTTTTTTTTTTTTTTTTTTTTTTTTTTTTTTTTTTTTTTTTTTTTTTTTTTTTTTTTTTTTTTTTTTTTTTTTTTTTTT